AATCCCTCGCACGCCCTCACCACTCATATATCTGCGATATAGAATCTGTGGTTCGGTAGTCCTGCAGCGGACCCTTGGTCGCCCTTTCGAGTTAATTGTTACATCACTACCATAATACCTGGGTGAGTAATGCCGCCCAACTGCCTATCGTCCTATGGGACCCCGCTCGTGGGTGATGGCATTCAACGGTGCCAGCCAAAGAGCGGTACCAAGCTGTCAGTACTTTGGGAGAGCAAGACAGTCCGCCCACTCACCATGGAGACGTTGATACACAAGTGACTATTTGCTAACGCGTGCATGCTAGAGTATTTAAGCAGTGTTGCCGTTGCACATATGGAATATCTTACTCTCCAAGATATTCCGCACCGTCACTGTGAACCGCTGCACTCGCGCAAGATGACTTCTGCACATCCTGCCGAACGGCCGCTGGCTAACATGGTCGCTGCGGTAAGTCAAGAACCAGAGTCTCCTTCTTCTTTACACGAGCCCACTCCCATCCCTCCGCGATTTCTCGAGCCCGCGTTGCATGATCCCTTCCGTGTCCACGGGCAGGAGAGTGCAACTTTGAGGGCAAGAGCATCCGAGCCCTTCGCCTGCCCCCGCGCACCTGCCCAGTACTATGGCCATCCCCACTTTGCGGACGCACTTGGCGAGAACGCCCGTTCACTGGCCTTGCCGCGCTCCTATTCTTTGCCCACACGCCGCCGATCGCATTCACCAGAGCCGAGAATGCTGCCCGACTCACGCCTGCCTACGACTACTCCAGACACAGTCGATGGCGACGAACTACGACCGTCGAGCATCACTCTGACAGAATCACAGAACCACCACATGCGCAGTTCACCGCCCATCCAGCCCGGAGAGCAAAACTTTCCTGGCAAACTTCCTTCGTTTTCTGAGGTATGTCTCCCTCCAGCCGATTTATGCCATCCGCAGGCGATTGACTCCTCCAGTTTCTCCACACTACGCGGACCACCACACCCCCGCGGACGCCTCAGCGTCGAAATGACTCTGCTGAAAGCTCTCCCCACGTGCAACCTCAGTTTGAAGATGTATCTTGGTCAGACAGCAAGAGAAGGCGCGTCGACACGCTCGGCGATATCTACGAGCCGCCTATGCAGGGCCGTCGAATGAGCAGTGCTATTGACCCTGCCCTTTCTGGCTACTCGCCCCGCATCGCCCAGCAACACGCAGTGCAGCCTGTCGGATCTGGCATGCTCCATCGTCCAAGTCATTCATACGCGGCACCCCAGCAGCAGCCAATGCCTATGAACCCACACATGCGACATCAGTCATCACCAGCACCCCAGGGCCACATGTCTTACGCACCACCATCTCTCCAGCAGCCTATCGGGCAGGGCCCTTTCCAGCAGCCCATGGTTCAGCAAGGTGGCATGTACGAACCACGACCCAGCTACTACCACGAACCCCAAGCTGCTGTCTACGGTGGCTACGAGCGACAGAATGAATCCTTCTTTACTCGACCTGGCTACCCAAGTTACGACTCCCAGTATGGCGACATCCGATTCCAGCAGCACGTAGGCCTTGATCACAACGCATTCAACAGGAAGCGCCGAGGAAACCTGCCCAAAGAAGCTACCAACTTGCTGAAAGATTGGTTCGCCGCCAACCGAACATCGCCTTATCCCACTGAAGACCAGAAGATGGAGCTCTGCAACCGGACTGGATTGAGTCTCAATCAGGTACGTGACTTGTCCCAGCACCAACGTTATTTTTTGACACCCTCACTACATCTGCCATTCCTGTCCTTCAGTGTCACATCCTCTAGACTACAGCGTGCTGTCGGTCCTTTTGCTACCCTCGCAAATCCTTTCTAGCATACACACGAGTTTACATCTGTGTACCGAACAAAGTGCTGACATCCACTAGGTATCTAACTGGTTTATCAACGCTCGTCGTCGTGCTCCACAAAAGGAACAGCGAGAGCGTGAAGCCAATGGCCCAGAGGCGTAGTGTCTCACGCAAACGGGGCCCGCCCAAGGAAAGCGCGACCAACCAGTAGGCGCTGGGACGCACCGGAATCTTCCATTCAACCTTCATCATGACGAGTTTAATCGCGCACATCATTTACTCTCTCTTCCGCTTTCGGCATTCTGGTGGAGCCAGAAGCATCTGGATACCTTTGTTTCTTGGGCAGCCTGTATCATCACAGCCTTCTGCGGGCAATGTCGGATATTGCGACCTTGACCAGGCGCATGGATGATCTGGCCATTTTCTTTCAGTCGAATACCCTGGGACCCAAAACGGAGTATACATCAGCGTTTTGGGAAATGGAGTTAGGGCGCATATTGCGCTAAGAACGCAGCATACTGGAACTGCTACAGCGTTGTTTTCCATCGGCCTCGGCCTCGAAGATTGTTTCCTACATAGCCTAATCACAATGCGATCTTCTCACCAAAGCTATACGAGACTCACAGACGCTGTCCTAACCCGCTTCGTGTGAGAATCGTGAACCCTCCGCAACCACTGAAAGAGACTTTACAGGCAGTATCATGGTGAAACCCGGAGAGCGCTACATGTGTATGCCGCCACTCTCCAGACTATTGATTGCCTAGTGCAGTCTCCAGTCGTCTTCATCGCGAATGGCCAGATTTGGTCTCACGGCCCACACACTGCCGAATGCGGAAGTTCAAACGGACATCCCCCTGGTGTCCGCGGGTACCGATCTAGCGTCTACGCTTCAAACGCCATCGACAGCTCCGGTGTTTCAAAACCCCAGAGTTAAAACATGACACACAACGGTGGTGCTTGAGAGGCAACACCAGCCGTTTGGCAGAGGGCTCGTGCTTTCGGGAAGTAACGACCCCGGCAACATGTATGAACAAGTTGAGCCATGACATGTTTCGTGATATCGAATCTCAACACATCAAAACTCCACCGACTTCAATCGGCCGACTCCTCCAGATGTGAAGGATCAAACAGGCCGGGGCGCCACTCACACTAACTTCACTCGCACTCCACTTGGCCTAAGAACTCGATAACCAGCCTTTCAGCCGGAGACTCCACATAGTCCGGTGAATGAAGTCGCATTAGACCCTTGCTATGATCCTCTTCTGGGATTGACCCCTCACTATTTGGATGCGGGAAACACTGCACATCATTGGGGGATCGGAGTCAGGGTTTGCCCTGCGAATCTCGCTCCACCATCTCTCCCGAAAACCAAGGACCGTGACCAAAATCACTGCTGACAGGGATACCATGGAGCGGCCCGTACTGTAAGGGGATCACACCTGTCGGCATTCAGAGCAAGTTTAAAGGTGTGACACCGGAACAGCCGTCGCGCACTTTATTGACAGTGACACTCACGTCTTGATTGATAGGAGGCTTCCGTGGCGAGTGGAGAAGAACTCAAAAGTTCAGCTGACTCTTCACTTTAACCAGCTGCTCGCGTGAACTACCCAACTTGTAAACACCTCATTACGGATTGGGCGGCCTGACGCACGTTCATGGCAAACACGGAAGGACTAGGTCCAAGCTCTCGCCTTTTCAGACGCAGCCGTATAGTCTGCGGGAAGCATGTCTCCATTTATAGTACCATGGTAGACTGAAACGTTCCTGGAGGAAATCACGATCACCGTTGTCCGGAAACCGGCAGCCTCACAGGCGGCGCATGGGGCATCAGGCAAACATGATGGCTGTCATTGTTTCAGCTGCCAAAGTCGTAGTACAAAACGTCACTTTTCAGTCCCTGTCCCAGGAGCTGATAGTCGCGTTACATTGATGAGATGAGGATGAGCATCTCCACGTCGTTGCGCAGATCTCGATGCGAAGCGAAGCGCGAGATAGTTTCCCGGGGTTGACTGCGACGGATGAAATGAGGATCTTCATCCTTCGTATCACCCACGGTCGGTATCGCGGTAAGTCCCGAGCTATACCGTGGTCGATCATAGCTGCGCGCAAAGAGTCAAGATTACCGTTTGACTCGGGATACTGGCGGTACTGCAGCCTAGCTGGACGCCACACACCCACAGATAACCAGCGCGGCTAGGACCACATGGATAGTAGATCCCACCATAGGAATACGAGTACGAGCAACATGGCCAGATAGACGACGAGCCCATAACAGTGACTGCAACCTACGCTCACTCGTCCCCTTGGACTAGATGAAGAGCGCTCTGACAAAGTAAGCGTAACGGCCACAAAATACACTCCAAGTCACCATCCACGCGCATGAAGAAAATCACCGGATACCTCACCACAGCCTCTAGCAGCTTACGCGTACATGCTTTTATACCAACTTTACACCCCATAGTCCGCAGCTCCGCAGGCTGCAAACTTTTCTCCCCAACGACCCGGAAAGTAACGACACGACTCACCATCTAGAATTGATCAACAGGCACACTCACACGCAGATCCACAGCCCAACGCCCCATAGCCCCAGCGACCACCACACGGAAACAAGGACCGTCAGGCAGCGGCATCGGGCAGAAGAAGCAGGAGTTTGGTTCGCGAACTTCGATTACCCGCATCGGAAACTTGTTTTGATCGCCTGTGGGATCGGCGGGGGACGGTGCTGGTCGTGGTGTACCAGACTTTGTTTTTGGCCTATCATGGGGACGGTGGGTTGGGCGGGGTGGTTGATTGGGTGGGGGGTGGGATGGGCCACGTGGAGTGTTTTCGTGCGATGGATGTGTGTGCGACGTGAGGACAACGTCGTCGGAGCTTTTTGGTGTTAGTATGACTTGCTTTTGTCGGCGTTTTGACGTGGGGTTTAAGAGAGATGACGAACCTGAGTAGTAACCGTGATAAGGCAGTTCAATCACCTCGTGACAGTATGGCTTGTGTCACTCAGTCCAGTGTGCAGTAGTTTTTGCAAATGCGATGAGCATTCCTTCCACCAGACCATTATGTACAACCTACGACTAACAACATACATGGGTATCACATCCTAAGAGGAAAAATATACGAAGAACGCCCAAGTCGCTTACCGAAAAAGAAACAATGCAAAAATGGACCCAGAAATGGACCCCTCATCAACGTCATCTTCTTGACCTCCTAGTCTCGTCGAGAATAGCAAGACTGGCTCCTGGATTCTTCTTCTCGTACATCTTCGCCATGTCGTATACCACTTCACCCCACTCAAACTCTCCACGATGGCTTTTTTGTTTGCATGGAGATTGGCGAAAGGGCAATAGCCAGTCTATTATGTTCGTGCCCATGGTGTCTTTCCAGCCCTGCAGGAGTGTAGTATACCAGGGGTGTTCCAAGGGCTTGGTCTGCATGACGACATACGAGCGGTTCGGCAGGCGGGTGATGGTAGTGAGAACGGGCCAGTCCTCCTTGTCGAGTTCCTTCTCTTCGGCCACGTCTCTGCTAGACTTCTTTTTATGATGTTTACTGGATGACGTCGTTGGTGTCGCAGTAAGTGGAGCAGCGGTATCGGGGTTCGGGGAGGGGTTCGATATGAGGAAGGCGATGTTGTGGATGCCGCCGCGCTGGATGCCTTCGACAGAGGTGAAGTTGATCATCAGATTCCAGCCTGTCATACAGGTCATTGTGAAGGTGAAGATGCTGAAGAGCACAGCTGTTGCGAGCGCGCCGATCCATGTCCCTGGCCGTGAGCCCATCTACGATGTGTTAGCCTGCTGCTGCATGCACTGGGTTGCTTCTGAGCGCACCTTGGAACTCCTTTCCGCAAAGAAAATGGCCACCACAATCCAAGTGAACGTCGTGTATAGCGATGCATACGCCACGAACTGCATAAAGAACTTGTGCGTAGTCTCCGCTATGATTCCACCGGCCCATGGGCAGTAGTGATCCATCTTTTTCACGCAGCGTCCCAGTTCCTTGCAATGATGTGCCCTATCCGGCTTCCAATTGTGACACCTCTCGCACCAAAGTGGCACCCCCTGGTAATCGCAAATGTATGCATCGTACTGATCGAACCCGAAGCCCTTCGTACTCGCATCTGCCTTGTCCACCGTAGGGTTACCCAGAGGTATAAGGTCTGGCTTTGACCAGACCAGTTGTAATAGGCGCAGCCATGCTACCATAAGGAGGAGGAGTAGGATAGCGTAGACGACTATGAGTGCGATTCCGGTGGAGCGTCGCGGCCGAATGCCGAAGTCTTGTTGGATGTCTTCCGAAGGGGTTATGAGGTACTGGACGCATATTAAGTAGACTACGACATATGTCTCGTACCCCAGAGCGCCGAACTCGAGAAGTGGTAATATGACGGAGGTGGCCTGGCCTATGTTCTGTTCCATCGCCGTGGTGTCTGTCGCGCCAGGCTTCTGGGAGCCGTTAACTGACAGGGGTGCCATCGCGTGGCTATACGAAATGCTCGAGAGCAGCTGGAAGAAGAAGAAAGAGCAGATTGAGATAGTCGGGGTCGCACGCGAAGACGGGTGGTCGACGAAGCCCTCGAGAAGGCCTGACGTTCCCGGTTGTTGCACGACAGCGGCGTGAAGCCGCCCAGCGCGCAGCCAAGAAGTTCGCGCACATGTTTGTCCCGCTAGTCCGAGGCTGGTTAGCAAGAGACGTCATCATCATTCGGAAACAGCCACGGGGAAGACAGGACAACGCGTTGCCATAAACATCGCGAACAATTGCTGAACTTCTGCGTACAGTATGCCTCATCTCCACGGACACGTCTCTACGACTGCCGGCAACGCGTAGTGCGCAGCTCGTCCAATCGGCAGAACTTCGGCATCCACCGACGTCGCACGAAGAGAAAGATCGGCACAACACCACCAACGACTCTCGTCACATACCGAATTGAGCTATTAACGCTATCTCAATGCTCTTGCTGACCGGCAATGATGCCACTGCGAGTGCGATATCCTACGGTCTTGCTTTTTCAGCAGACTGAAGCCAAGGGGTCTGCTTACGCGTTAAAAGCCAGCGTGCATCGACCTTGCATGACCCGCAAAAAGACCCCGCACGAGCTTTCTCAGCCTTCCCTAACCTTCACAATCTCTCATCCTTTTCCCATGAGATCATTCGGGCAAGAGCAGGATCAATTCATATTGCATTGGGCCTACAGCGTCTATGTCCACCATTGACTGCTCTTGGACTTGTATCATGGGTGCAAGCTATGGACTGAGCTAAACCCATTGGAACTCACCGGCCATACGAGGCTGGATCGTAGCCTCGTAGAGCCTCATCTTCCGCGTTTCATTCGCCTTTTGACACGCTGGCAGCCGCCTTTTTGGCCCCGACAAGGACCAGCGATTGCTGTTTGCGGCGAGACATCATCTACGATATGGATATGTGGAGGTCAGAGGTTCCCGACAGGTACGACGTTGACCTGATGTCTATGCGGCTCTTCCACACGAGGCTTCGGACTCGTCTAGTTATAATACTGCTGCGCCCTGCATGAGATGGTGAAAGCTCCATCAACTTACCCGCGGCCCGCCGATGTTAGCAACTTAGCAGCGCTGGCCATCTATGACCCCATGGCTAGCCTCGTATTTATCAGGCAGAATCCACGGAGAGCCTTGGGGTTGCCTCAAGTGGCAAATGCTGGGCTCCAGCCCATGTAAGTCTGTCTGCACTTTTCTCCAGAATCCCGTTGATCTCAAGGTTTCAGGTAGATTATCCGAACTCTCAGCATATGTTCGGCACGGTCTTGTTCGTCTGCTACAATATGTGGCCAGCGGCCTCGATTCAGCCGTGCCCGGCCGTCGGTGAACAGGCCATCACCAGGGCCGGTAAACCTACCGCTGCCAGCACTGCCTCCTCGGCGTACGCGAAAGGATATTCGGTGAGTATCCTGGCTCGTAAAGCACGAGACAAGCTCTTAAGGTACCATTATGGACGTGCCGACTAGTCATCAGCCGCACTGGTCAGTGGCTGTTGAAGAGGGCAGGCCGCATACCAGGCCTGAAGAACACGGGCACTGGATCTGGCAACGGCATCCACACCGGCAGAAATAGTCACACATACGACTAGCCCAGCCGGCTATGACCTGTGCGAATATACATGAACTCCTTAGTAAGGTACGGCCTTCTCAACCTTCCGGCGGCTTGCACGTGACACAGATGGAGCCCAACTCTACTCAGCTATATTTGCCCCTGGTCTCGGGAACCGCCTGCCTAGTCGAGCCAAGGAGGTGGCATGTCCATGTAGCATCGGCTGCGCCTTTACCTGAGGCAAACGGTGGCTTCATCACGGAAGACTCGTGCTCCACGAGGGGTAATCTCAACGCCGGCCAGTTTTGTCTGATCGCAGCAATCTTCATTCAGGCAGAGCTATGTAGGCCCTATCAAACATCGTACTCAGACTCCTCGTCTATTTCTTTGAAGATGGGCACCATTCAACGTTCGTCATCCATTCCGCACGTGCTGGTAACGAGGCTCGTTGGATAATCCGGCCAATGCACACAATCACGAGGAGAATTTGGACGCCTCCTGGTCTGTGCAGATGGCAGGCGTTCGATCTTTCTCCTAACCAGCATCAATGCTATCAGTCCCCACAATTGCTCTGGGTAGAACTGGCGGCCCTGGCGTGCCTTCTAAGAGAAAAAAGCGTTAGTACCAGTTCTTTGGCTGGTCGTTCCTTCGGCCTCCACCTCTCGCATGCACCCATCCGGTGGCCGCGTACCAGAAGGGTAGCCCAAGCAAGCGTTCATTCGGGCCCACAGTCGTTCACGTGCTCATGACGATAGAATTACACCAAGTTCCAGATCTCGTTCCGCCAGCTCGTGCCATATCAGCCCTGCCATAATTGGAGAGGCATACCAGGTAGATTATGCAATGTAACAACTCCGGCCGCTGCTGCGCTACATCGATGGGCGCCGTTGGGCCCATCTACCTGGATACCGGACGGTGGAGCACGTCACCCTACACGTCCTCGCCCTTGCCAACATGCCTCCCACTCGTCCTTTGGTGACCTATCGATACGTTCCTGGAGCTGGACCTAGTTGTCACGCCCCGAAGTTATTCATCACACAACCCTAGGCCACCCATTGACTGCCAATGACGTCATGGAGAACACTGTCTTAATACCTGAGGACTCTCATATCAACGTAATTGACATCACGAGCGATGTTGCTCATGGAGCATCGCCATTTAGAGTGGCTAATGCATCATACATCCTGGGAGGTCCTTCATCATCCCCCACCTCACGACTGGTGTTGCTTCATCGCATGCGCTCGAGGCCTGTATGCCTCACATCGGCCGCCACCCTATCTGTGCTCGAGCATATTTTGATGTCTCAAAGGACTATCAGTGCGGTGCGCAGCGCCTCTGCAGGAAGATGGCGAAGCAGCAACATAGCTGTGGTCTCGCGACTGTTTAAAGACACATAAAGGCCTTCTCAATGCTTCAAACCACAACGCACTCAAGCTCTCAACCACTACCACTCAATACCGCTCTAGTAACTTCTCTTTACCTGCGAAATCACTACCTCACTTACATCATGGTTAACAACACTCTTTCTCATAGCCACCTCCCCAGGCATGATCTTCAAGACCCTTCCACGTCTGGCCAACGTCACCAAGCTACACCGTTTCGCCATGAAGCCACCCCATCTTCACTAGGTGGCACTGGTGTCGCTTCCATGTTGCATAACGGTGCCATCGCTCTTCCTGTTGGTACTCTTTTCGGCGGAGAACACACGGCAGCTCCGAACAGCATCCCTGTTATCAACATGCAGAACAACCATGGTCCCGCTGCCGCAGATGGAGATCTAGTGTGGTTCTGCTCGGAATGCTACGATGGACCCATCTCTTACTGGCAGGCGATTTGTGTTCAGTGTTCTCATCAGAAGTGCGGCTCATGCAGAGTCGAAGAAACCGGCTAAATCTCCTCTTGCACTCGCACACCCTCGTCTTCCTCCACCGCCTATGTCTACAACCATCAAAGACAACGTTATCACGAAAAGCCGCTTCTACTGCCGCTTCTGCTCGAACTTATGCGGCACGCTCTTCTCCTGGATACTCTTTCTTTGGGTCATTTCTTGGGATCTCTCGCTACTGTTCGCTTTCTCTGCTTTCTCAATCACTATACCACACTTATAGACTTGTTGGACATTTGGAGTATATGGACAAAGAATTACTTACATGGCGCTGTTCGTTCTTGCAACAACATCATGTGGTCTGCCACGAGCATGACCCATACCACCCGGCACATTCGCTTTACGGATTCTGGTTTTGGAGTTTAGTTGGATTTACAGTTCGCTACTCAATAGAATTCTCCTCATCATTGCTTGCTTCACTCTCATAACAACCTTGCCACTTTCCTATCATGGCCACATGCATCTTCCTGCAACGACGTTGAAGCGATGCGCCTCCATCGCTCGAAGCGGAAACCGCGTGGTGAGCAGACGTGCGAACTGCAGCATGCAGACCAGATTCGGCTCTTCATCCCAGACTCCACTGCAGAAAGGATGCAGGAACGTTTGTTCCAGCATGGAGCACGAGACCCTCAGCGGGAGATTCGCAGGCTTCTTTGCATATACAAAGTCGACTGCAGCAACGAATCAGAAAACTGCCGTACAGATAACTGGTTTGATTGGACAAATTTCCTCGCTTTTTCATGATTTCTGCCTCACGGCTCCAGCCAGGGTTCTTTCTTGTTTGCTTTTTCGTCGAGGTGGCTGAAGAGGCTGCGTCACTGCAGCGCACGCGAGGCAGGAAGAGGGACCTCTCTTGGCGCCCAGAGAAGCCTGAGGACTGATGGCGCGAGGCTGGAACAACATCTCTAGCATCCTCGGTGCAGCCCAATATGCCGCCTCAGTTTGCCTACTGCCTTCTCGCACAGCCACCGCTAGTTCCGCTCCGTCATGCCCTCTCTTCCGGTCTCCGACCGGCTTCTTTCCGAGCCTGCCTGATTATTTCCCTCATGTCATCACGCAAAGCTGCCGGTGTACTCTCTCACTACACTCTTCCTTAGTTATGGTCATGAGCGAGCTTTCTGACGTACGTTGACCGCTGATTGTTGAGCCAGTGGGTCAGTTTCGGAGGACCTGTCCTAGCTTCAAGGCGAACATGAGGCACCAAACTGAGTACTGCAAGAAAAATCACGGGTGGCACGAGGGGAGGATGAGGAAGCTAACTGTAGGGCACGAAGGGGCGAGCGTGGCTCAGTCGTTGCCAGAAGACGTGAGGACATAGCGGAGCGTCCTTCGAGGGACTCAGGATAGCAAGATAAAATGCCATTAGAGTGCCTCTTCTCTTGTTCTCATAAGCTCATAGCATCGCAACATTCCCAAACATCTCATACTTCCACAAGACACTTCATTATCAGCCACAACAAGCATTCTTCCCTAACTCCTCCAACAACCACCGCTGCTCCGCGACAAGATGTCTGTCTTCTGCTGCATGTGCCATGACGGCCCTCACAACACGAACTTCGTCTCAGCATGCACCAACTGCAACCACTGGCTTTGTAATAGTTGCCCGGTCGCAACAGAATACTACAACTATAGCACCGCTGTCTCTGCCTCGGCTCCGCACTACCACGCTGCGACCTCTACCACTCACAATAGTACGGCTAGGCTCTCGGGCAGTCATCAAGACGTTCCAACTGCGAACCTCAACACACGCTTTCCAGCGGGCGACGGCGGTCGCTACACCGAACATCCCAACAAGCCCGTGCTGCGTTGGCAATGCTGCTCATGTTATGGCAACAACAGTGTTGCTACGGATCTTGGCTGTGCGTTCTGCAATAATCACAACAAGTGTGGTTACTGCAAAGTCTGGGATGATGCAAGACAATAAAGAATGCGGATCGATCGGCGGGAAGTAAGCAGCGGCGAGAGCAGTGGTGAGTTCTAATGCCATGAGACTCAGGCCACAATGCTAACCTTGCCAGGTTACATGATTGGACATGATTCTGGAGTTATGGAAGGGGATTTGCTGGAGTTCCGGTGTCTTTCTTGGTTGAGTTCTTCATTTATCCCTCCCCATGATATGGACTCGCCTATAGTCTATTATCTTAGATACCCAGCATACCTCTCTTTTTTTGAGCGTCTTAATCGAGTGCGGCGTTGGCTTCAAGCATAGCGATGGTATCCTGATGCGTTCAAGCGTAGCATGTCCGGTTAGCTGTTGTTTCCAGTAATTCCAATGTACTGTTTACTCTGATTCCACATGAACTTCCTGCTCGTGGTCTTGACTTCAACGTTCGCCGGTGATGAAGCCTCCAATGAAACGCCTGTCAGCTTGTGAGCTGCGCCCACTCTACACATCCGCCGCCTGCGGAGTGGAGTTTTGTCTGCAGCAGAACCCGATATCACCTTCCGTAGCACGACATAGTACCCAAGGCGTAATCGGCAAGTTGGGCGCACGTTGAAATAAGGAGGTGAGACATCGCGGGTGGCACAGTCAAGCATATCGCTCCTTCGCGATTGCCGAGTCCTCTGCTGCGACTGGTTCGCCACTGCAATCTGCTCCGTGAATTGGGACCAGGGATGACACGCAGGAACGCCCAGTGCTGGAAGGCGGCGTTATGGGACGTAAGCCTGCGCGTACGCTTTCTCCGCCTGTGCGTGGCATCAGGATACGAGCCCGCGTCGACAAGAATGATAGTCAAATCTCCCCGTGGACGCTTGGGTGTTTCTTTCCTACGTTTCTGCTCAGTTGCGCAAAACAGAGGACGAGAGGTGGACTCGTGTTGCGCTTACGTGCGCGCGCATGCTCGAAGGATGGCTAGCTGGCCCTGTTCCGCAGGCAGCGCAGCCCGAAACTTTGACTGTATTTGCACAGCCATACCGCACTACTCGGGCTTCGATTTCTGCCTTCTTTTAGTGATTCAATGGGCGAGAAGACATGATTCTTATCTCGTCGGCAAGAGACATGTAGTCAGAATAGAGCCCTGTAGCCCATCTCTGCGCCCTCCAGGGCTGCTGTGCGGCTCTAGATTGCAGGAGCGTTATGCCGGCTGATAATTCCGTGGGACGATTCGTCGTCATCGAGAAGGGCGCGTAGAATGCCCCAGGCTGTCCTTCCGGGTGGCAGCCTAGACTTGCGGGGCAGCGTGAGAAGGGCACTTGGTGTCATCCTCCGCGGATCGTGATCATGAAAACTTGTAGCCATTCTGCAGTGCCAACTTCGCATAGCTGTTGTAGCTGTTTGCATCTGTTTGCAGTTGTGGTTGTCCGCGAGGTTACAAGCCGGCGAGCGGCACAAGCGGATTAAGGACTGGGCGGGTGTCATCCATATTGGGCCTAGCGGATATTTCAAGTTTGAGCTCGCGCCTAACCAAAATATGTGTGATTTGCTAATCTACGCTATATGACTATACCAGCGAGCGTCTAGCAACCATTTCTGCGCGTTCCGAAGCGGAGAGACGCATTCAGGAATGAACAAGTACCAATCACTAGTCTCGTTCGTGGCCAGACAATTCGTCACCTTGGTAGACTCGTAGTACTCTGGATAGAAGCCGGCATATTCCCAGTCAATAATGCCGGTCACGCGACACTGCCCTCCTTCAAGCTTTACTATAATATTTTCAGGCCGAAGATCATTGTGGCTGAGGACATGCTTCTGTGATAGGGGCGGGCAAAGACTTCGGAGGAATTTGATGTAAATTGGGCTTCCATAATGGGGATTGGAGAATTGCCAGTCGTCGAAATCTTCTGTAGTCCAGATAGGGTCGGTTGTGCAGCGAACATTTCTCCTCGCATCTTGGCAGCCTTCTCCTGCCACACCTCCAAGTGGCATGTTGTCGGGACGGGTCAAAGACCGTACTTCGATGAAAATATCGTTCAGCTGTGTTTGGACTGAGCGCTTAAGGGAGTCGTCTAGTTTTGGCCAGACTGCTTCGAGTGTTGTGCCAGGCATGAGAGTCATAAAGACGAGGAAACAGTCACCAAGGCGTGCAAGACCAAGTGGTCTTGGTGCAGGAATGGTGGGTTTGTGTTCCTCGAGGTATTGCAGGGTTGTGTATTCAGTCAAGTCGTCCATCTTCATTATAATCTTGAGAGCAATACCAGGACTGCACTTGAGGACGATACTGTGTTTGCCCAACGGTGGCGTCCAGACAACTTCGCTCTGTTCAACCAATTTGCGGATACTGTTGGCAAGGGTCGATTCGTCGTGGTCGCTTTCAATAAGGCCTCGGAGGGATTCAGAGAACGGGAACAGGACTGTAGCTGAGGTATGACTATAGAGAAATTGTCGAGCATCGTCAGGAAATGGCGAAGTATCCATCTTGCGAGGCTGTGGATGTGGCTCGTCCCAAGAAGGAGCTGCAAGACGTTAGCTTTAGTTTTACAACTAAAGCATAGTGGTGCGAAGCCCACGAACCATCGGACTTTCGCTTAGCAAGCCGACTTGCATACGTAGAGGGGATTTTGGATGCCAGATCTACTTCTGGGTCCGCTTCTAACTCTCTTTGTAGCTTTCTCATAACCATTTTATTCAAAAACAAAGCCGAAGACCTGTCCACAGGGTCGACCCTGTCTGCTCTCTGACATTGAGGATGCATGCAGATGGCGTCTGTGTCGTGAGGTGAACGATGCATAGCGTCTGTGTTGTGAGGTGAAAGAAGATTCGTTTCAGCGCTAGTGTGTTTAGGTGATTTGAAGTCCACAGGTTGATAACTGTCGTGAGTCCTTGCAGTTGTTTGCGGTCTCGGTCAAGTGCGAGGTTCCAAGCCGGTACAAGCGGATCAAAGACGGTGCGATGCTATCCGCATCGGGCCTAGCAGGTACTCCAAGCTTCGATCAACCACAGCGCCAACCCTCTTGTTATCTACACGTATCCATCACTCAAGCATCATTTCAGCAATGCCGCTATCTGTGCTTTCATGGTAAAGCTGCGATCTTCAGGAGTCGGTGCCGTTTGGAGTTTGGCGGTATCTCATGCCTGCGGGTCAGAAAGAAGACTCAGACGCTGTCAAGCCGACAATGTAGCCGTGACTAGTCAGTATCCATCGCTCTCGATAGTCAGGTGACTCCGGGCACGGTCCGGAAGAGCCTGGACGAGAGGCGCATTGGCTTTCGTCAGCCATGTAGGTTGAGTAATACAGAAGCGGGGTATCTTACCACTCTGCTTGGTAGCCTTAGAATGTTCTTTCTTGTAAGAAAACTCCCACGCGACGCGTGACCCGCCAAGCACAAGAAACCTCACATGTGCTAGCTGACCTATAGGTTGCTTCTGGCTTCCTCAACATCAATATTGCCATCGAACTGACTCTCGAGACTGCATGGCAAATACGCTAGCGAGTCGAGCAACACAGCCTCGTCTCCTCTACAGTTACATTGCTCAACCACATTTCTATAGCGATCACCATCATCCAGACCGCCAAAATACCCCGGATGGGCCCATTTCCATCGCGTTCACGAGATCGAGCCGTCGAAGTATCCACACCAATAATGACCTGGTGAAGGGCGTTGTCCACGTCAAATCACAAACCAGAGTCAAATACGTCACCATAAGCTTTGTTGGCAAAACGACCTGTCGCATTGCGAGCGAGCGCAATCCTGCAAACCAGCATATCTCCGAAGTCGAGCTGTTTTGCCAAGAGCAAACGTTATCGAGGAGGGTAACCCCCAGCGCAACCTGTCCCCCTTCGCGGGTAGAGTACCCCTTCGAATTTCGATTTCCAGAAGCAGTGCCAAATGCTACGAAGCTGCAGAATGATACGCCATTCCGACCAGATCCTCTTTTTGAGCACGAGAGTGGTCATCCCCTTCCACCGTCGCTATGGTGGAACGAGAGCACGATATGTAACGAGTACTTTCTGAGAGCACAGTTCGTCACGGAGCAAGCTTCATTCACACTTAGTCCCGTTGTTGTGCAGCAACTCCGCTTTAGCCCGTCGGTTCCGGAGCAAGGTCTATCGCCTACAGCTGCTCTTGTACCAGCACCACCAATACGTTTTGAGCGTAGATCGAGACCATCAACTCCAGATCCATCTAAGCAGCGGCGTAACTCGCTGCGACGGCTCAAGTCGGGCCTGCGTGGTGGGGGGAAAGAAGAAGAGATATCCTCGACGTCGCTGTTAGTACTCAGTGCACCCCCAGAGTATCGCGTTGGTGCTGCCAGCACGATCAAGCTATCACTGCAAGCAACGCTAAGCGACGGTGGTACACAACCAGCACCCGTGTATCTTCGTGGCATCCGCGCACAAGCAATGACACACATCAACTTCCGAGTCCCGCTAGCATCTGCACCAAATGGAGAGATACGCAAAGAGAGCGTCGAAAAGTTCGACCTCTTCAATCAGCGATACAGTAAACCTGGAATAGAACTCACTTTGGATACCATCTTGGAGGGTTTTGAGATCAACAAGATTGTGCCCCCCACATTCAAAACATACGGTATCGCACTTCACTATGACGTCAAGTATGACCTTTTGCTCGAATGCGCGGGCAAAGAGTCGGAGCATGAGATTGATGTCGATAATGTGGTCATCGAGCCGATGACAAGGCCTGGTGGGCATCTTGGGCCGCCGGATGAGATGCCGCCAGTAAGCGGCTCGGATGAGAGCTTCATATTGGAGGAAATGCTCCGGGATGGTGAGCGTGTAGCGGAACAACCACCGCCCTATTACAGATAGAAGATGCAGCTATCGCAATCATCGGTGCTACGTGACCTATTCGATCATTCGTGACAACATGGACTGTGAATGTGAGCAACACAGCGTGCAGTCTGCACTTGCTGGCAACTAACACGTGGCAAGCAACAAAGAGAAACGGCACTAATTTGGAGCTCTCTTTTTCCCCAATCGAGAGGCACGTATAACATAACTCTGATTATCTCGAATACAGCATATATTACTGAAATCGTTCGCACTCAACTCTTGCAACCCACCAACCCCCAAAATACCTCCAACGCATCTATTCAACATATCCACACGCACTACATTATTCCAGCAGTCCTCCATCTCCCCGAATATGCCCCCAAATCCAGGTCTATACATCTGCCCCTGCGGTATGAACGCGGGCGTCTGGCTCGTTGCCGGCGCGAGTAAATGCTCAATGTGCGGTTGGTCGTGGGGCAGGTATGAAGCGGCTCGCGTAGCGGACGAGAAGAGGAAAGATGGGCAAGCTACGGACGGGCATGGAGATCAGAAGAATTAAGAGCCATGTGTAACGGCGTGTTGTTGCAAATACGAGTGGGCAGCTTTCGGAGGAGATGAAGTTGGAAGGAACATCGAGGGTTTATATGTCAATTCTCCTTGGACAAACCTCTGGTCGTCCCGTGATTAAGATGGCCTCGCCAAGGTATGACTCGATGCAAACGCTCTAACCATTGAATGCATGAGTCCGTATGAATGCTTAAATACTTCACACTTGTCATGAGGCGGCTAGCTTACGCTTGCAAGACTCCTCCAACATGTGGCTCACTCAATTTTTTGGGTGTATGAATGCTGAAATACTAACAAGCTTGTCTTTCTACAACAAAACCATACTTTCAGAGATCTTAATATATCATCGATTCGATCGATAAGACACAACAGGCATCACCAACTACGACATCCACAATCTCGGGGACAGCAACATACACTCCCGCGCCGAGAACCCTGCCTTCATATCGAGCAAGTTAGCCAAGTCAAAATCGAATACAACTCGCGCTACTATGGCAGTCTTGCCAGAAGACCACGACAATCTTAGGACCGACTGCAAAAAACGCGAACAAGATGCTTGCAGCTACGGCCTGAATGAGCATCAATTTCCACCAAAGAAGGAGCCATGCCAGCACGAAGAGTGTTTCAAGACACCTACGATTATCGATAAACAGAACGCGAAGGAGGGCGGAGAGCAGGAGAAGGAGGAAAGGCAGGACGGTGGAAAGAGTCCAGGAAACTGACGCGAGAGCGAGAGAAGCCAAACTCCCCTGATGAGGCCGAAGCCAGGATGTGTCGGTAATCTTTTGTATTTTAATCCGGCTATGCCCGACAAAGTTTCAGATCTTGTGGGGATGCATTGAAGTAATGGCAGTGGAATGCTTTTGTCTGAGAAGGTCATCGGAGAATACTCGGCTTAATGTGTGCATTAGAAAATAGATCTATTCGTCTCTCAACATTCTCAGATCCCGTAAAGGGCAACTCCATGTGAGAAGGTACTCGCAACACCCATCACCTCTCCGCAGCAACAAGAAAGAGAAGAAAAGGATATCATATAATCAGACCCAAACACTCATACGTATATCTGCAACATCTCAAGGCTTCACACAAGCAACCATGAGCTTCTCGTAATCGCCGCGCGTCTCTCCTTCTATCCTCTTGACCAAGTCCTTCTTGTAGACCTGCTTGTACGCGTTGCTGACGGCGTTCATAAAGTTCTTGTCCCAGTGGCAGCGGACGACGCGTTGTACGAGGATATCGTCCTTTGTACCGAGGCCAGCCATCGATTCCTCTAGACGGACGGCTTCAGCCTCGGGCCGGTTGGTGGCACGGTGGATAAGTAGGCGGAGTGCATCTTCCATGTGGCCTGAGAAAGCGGACTTGATGACGCTGTCGAGGGACTTGTGGAAGCGCTGCTGATAAGAGTTCGCCATGGCCTTGAGCTGCGCGTCGTTTTTGCTGGTGAGGATCTGGCAAACTTGGGGAACGTTCTTGCTAGCAAAGCCACCCATGCCGGCTTGAAGATCGGTGACAGCCTGCTCAATTTCTTGGGGGTTGACCGGGTATGAGTCTTCTGCGCGGCGGGCCGAGATGATCATGTCGTACATCTGTTCCGTTCCGGCACTTAGGTCGCCCTGAAGGTCTTTCTGTAGCGGCCGTTGGAATAGTTCTTGGTACTTCTGCTTGATGGCGTTGATGTCGGCGTTGCTTCGGCCGATCAGGATGTCGTCCAAGATGACCTCCTTTGTACCCATGCCCTTCATTGCTTCCATGAGGTTGTAGCAGTCGGATACTAGAGGGCCGCGTGCAATTTCGACAAGTCCTTTCGCGAAATAGCCGCTAGTCTCTTTCTCGAGATCTTGGACCATGTTTCGCATCAGGCGTTGGTCGTATTGCGCCCGAATAGTGTTGACCTGGATAGGATCCCTCTTCGCCAAAACCGCGATGAGCGCCTTTTCGTCAGTTCCGAATCCCTTCATTGCTTTGCGGACAGCTTCAACATCTTTGCTGACGTCGATGTTGGCGACCTGCATAGGGCCATAGCCGAGGGAAGCCTGAGTTGGTGGCCCGCCGAAACCCCCTGGCGCACCGAACTGGCCTTGGGGAGGTGGAGCACCGAATTGACCCTGTGGTGGGGGCGCACCGTATTGCCCTGGGGGTGGTTGCTGCCCAAACTGGCCTGGCGGAGGACCAGGTGGTGGTTGATACTGTCCTTGGGGCGGTTGTTGGCCGTATTGGCCTGGAGGTGGCGCGCCATACTGTCCTGGAGGTGGTTGCTGTCCATACTGGCCCGGAGGTGGCTGTTGTTGATATTGCCCAGGTGCGCCATAACCCTGTTGCGGAGGAGGAGCTCCATACTGGCCCTGGGGTGGAGCGCCGTACTGATTTGGCGGCGGCGCACCATATTGACCTTGCGGTGGTTGCTGACCATAACCTTGTTGAGGCGGGTAGCCTCCGTACTGTTGGTTCTGCATTGGTGGCGGTTGTTGATAGCCTTGCTGTGGAGGTGGTTGATACTGTTGATGTTGACCGTAACCCTGTGGCGGCGGGGCTTCTGTAAGATATTAGTACAAGATCAGGCTTCAGCGCCAAGTGTTGCAAGCCATGAAGGATGCAATGATCGCCGGGCTGTGAAGAGAGGGCCTCAACTTACGGCCCGGATACGGCTGCTGATAACCGCCTGGTTGGTTGTAGTTGTAGGACATGTCCAGCTGTAATTTAGGCAGGGTAATGCAGGAATAAGCTCTAGAAGTAGGTAAGACCGACGTGCGACTCGGATAATAAGGCAAGTGGTATGGGAAAGAAGAGGGGGAAATACCGACTGCCCGCTAAAGAGTGGTTTGCACCAAAGGTTGCCGTGGCTGAGTCGTATCGCTCAGCCCTGCCAGTGGTGGGGGTAGGGTCAAGAATTAGTTTGGCTCATGACGAAGAATCTGGCTTGGCATGGTCAGCCATCGGGTTTAGTGGCGTGGTATGCGAACACCTTCTGCCGCGTGGTTGGTACGGTGGGTAAGGCGGCCACTGCCCAACGCTAATCCGATGCTTAATCGGGTCGTTGCCTGTGGCGATGCACGCTCAGAAGACATATCGCAAGAGCACAGCCTCAGGGTCGTAACCATGCGCGAATGAATCTGCACTAGATTGTGGCTACATTGCAACGATAATATATTCGAGATAAGGTTGTGGCGTAGCTAGGACGATTTATAAGGGACTCATTCCACGAAAACAGTTTACGTACGCTGCGCCTTGGCAAGTCACTTGGACCTCACGATCTATGTTCGCATGGAGAACAGCGTCATGCAGTATCTGTGGTACGCGTCTGTCCGCATCATAATGATCGCGCAAAAGTCCGCGTCAACTTGTGGGCTCTCTTTCGCACGAAATACTGCATCGTACCCCCATTCAAGAATCGTCTATATTTTGTAACTCGTGCGTATCACGAAGACAAATGATAGATGATGCGATAATGTGCGATGGCCTCCTCGGCCGCTGGCGCTGGCGCTGTGCCAAGCTTATGTCACAATCCCAAGCTTCCATATGATCGGCAGCCCTTTCTCCTCTCCACCAACAACATCTCTTTACTGCACACCATCTTGAATCACTAACGCCAGGCACCCCAACTTTAATCCCAACCCGCCGGTGAACTTTCGGCCAAGACACTGACATCATAGCATGCGGCGCACGTAGCCCCTCATGTTTTCGCCGTCGATTGCGCATCACGAGTATGCCTTGGCAGTCGGAAGCGATCTTGGGTGAGCACTAATTGGTCAGGAGCACCCATTGAACACTTTAGTTCACCGAGGAAGATTTAGCACGTGCAGGTGGACAAAAAAAACGGGGTGAGAAGAGGACCGATGGAGGCGCATCATGGAAGTATAATAGAGCCAAGCCAGCGATCAATGTCTGGAGGATATTGACATAAGTTGGGTTTGTTGGAACGATTAATCCGAGCTGCGACCAACATCTTTCGAACAACCAACTTACCCGCCATCACCCCGAATTCTGTGATAGACGGGACATAGCCAGCCGCATACGCCATCCAGCATCGCCGATCACCAACCCTGAAACAGGGCACTTCCCGCGAGGCTACACTTAAGCATATCGCGTATAGGAAAGCCAGAGATATAAACGAGAGCAGAGCCGGTGCACGAAACAGTCGCCCTATCAGCCCGTCTTTCATCCATCAAACACTACGATGTCGTCCTACGACTCTGCCAGATCGGGATATCAGCCCCATCCGCAATACTCACAACAACAACCACCCTATCCCACCACACCGGGAGCACCACAACCACAGCAACCAACAAACTATTTCCCACCGATCCCCGAACAACAACCCATCTACTCCTCCTCACCAACATCGCCCTACAACAGCGGCGCAATGACAATGCCCCAACCACACATGCCAACCCACCGCCGCACCTCCTCCTCCTCATCCTACAACAGCCAACGCCCCACACACCTCCAACACACGCCCTCCCAAGCAATCCCAATCCGCCAACCAGACCCACACTCCTACCAATACCAACAACCCACCCATCTAGCTCCCACCTCGTACCCTCCACCCGTTGCCTACGCGCCACAGGCCGCACCCATCTACGCGCGCTCTTCATCGCAGCAAAGCCACTATTCGCACCACAGCACACACGCACACAATGCGCATGCCTATGCGGACGGAGAGGACAAGTACGAGGACGAGCATCATAGACATCATGATCAGCATTATGGGGAGCTGGATCCGGAGACAGAGAGGGAGTATAAGAGGAGGTATGCGCGGGAGAAGGAGGTGGAGAGGAGGCCGACGTTGGGTGGCAGTGTACTGAGCATGATTGGGAAAGTCGGAGGGCTGCTTGGGAGCGATAGGCGGTGATGCTCAAGGGCGGTGGTGTGAGCGGATGTTGAAGGTTTGGAAGCGATACCCCACGGATGTTTCCTTTTGTCTTGCTGCTTCGGCGGTCGTTGTACGATAGTGGAAAGCGCCAGATTAGCGCTATGATATGACGAATTAACTTTTGGATGATTGAATGAAGTAATTGATCTCGAATTCGTCGTGCAATATGTATAAAGGTAGTGCTGCTGAAATCCCCTATAAACGCCTCTCGCTGATAGAGAGGAAGAAACGCTGTCAGACGCCAAGTAGTAATGCAGCCGATGAAACGTCAAAACAGAAACTTTTCGTACTTCAGCGCTTGAAGCCGATATGGAAGTGTTGGCCCTGCCCAACAAGTTTTTCGTGCCCATGTTCTCGCCACTTTCGTTGCCAACATGGAGGTGGCAGATAGGTTGCGATACTGACGCCCCAGCCGCAGCTCGCTGCTGAGGGTGTACGCAGGCCGGTGGCTTGTAGACCTCCGAGAATGTGTTGCCTCGGACGCGACACGGCATTGTCCGGCCCGTCGCGTCGCCTTCTGCCGTCCATTCCTTTCCCGACCCGGTGTAATATGCACTCTATGCGTATACGATTATGTAATTGGCGAGCTCGGTACAGACGATTCGTGGTCGTGATTCGTTCAGCTGAAGGTCTCGCCAATGTGACGCTCGCTTTCGGGTTTCCAGGTGCCTGTTACTAGTTAGTATTGAGGAAACCAGAGACTCGAGACGGGTGTAATGGAAGGATGCGCGCGGCCCGACGTATCGTTCCGCGTGGTACTGTGCAGCGTAGCACGGCACTCACAAGGCGCGATAAGAAAAGATTGTCACGTACCTTCAAAGTTGTGCTTGACATAAGCCATTGGGTCGTCATCCTCGCCAGCGCCCATAGTCTTAATGCCGGGGCTGAAACTGGTGATAGGCAGCACAATGACGTCGCCGACCTTCTTGGGCGCCTTCATGCCAGTGAAGTTCTCCCATGTAATGTTGCCCTTGCTCGTGCTCATGTCAAAGTAGTCGGGGTTGTTGAAGTAGTTGAAGATGGTATCGGTCCAGACGGCGGGCCCAGTGAACTCGATTATGCCCTTGTAGTCCTTGCTGAGTTTGCCGGCGCGCTTGCGGTCGAGTGTCTCCTGTGTGATGTTTGCGACCACATCGACGAGAACAGGGTGGCCAGGCTTAGACTGAATGGTCCACTGGCAGAACTGGACACGCCGAGAGTACCACTGAGCCCAGTCTGGACGATCTGGGTCAGCCTCAATGCCAATGACCATTCCGTAGCTGTTTGCGGGCACATCAGAAGGTATCCAGTCTGACGCGGGCTTCAGTGCCGAAGTGTCAATATCCGAGTAGATGCCGCCACGAGCTAGAAGGATCAGGTAGCGGAAGAAGTCGGCTTTTAGGACAGGCACGGGGAGGGCGTTGTAGGCTTCGATAACCTCGGGGACGGAGGAGTAGAGGTGTCTGATTAGGTGTACCGCGACGTCGTCGGTGATAACCTCGTGGACGAAAGATGGGTGGTGTATGCTCCAGCTGGCCTCTGGCTCGCGGAACATCTCGTCAAACTGACCCTGCGCCGGTGTGTACTTCCACGTCTGCCAAATGTATGCGGGTGTCTTCGCGTCGACGTCGTAGGGGAACTGGTACTCGAGCTGGTCCTTGAGCGGGCGCTCTCTCAGCTCGTCCATGCTGACTTGAGTTTTGGGCTTCTTGCGCGCGGGCACATCGGGAGTGTCAAAGGTCTTGTCTGCCTTTTCCGTTGCCTTTTGCGCCTCTTTCGACTGCTGCTCCTTGGCCTTTGTGCGTTCTCTGTCTGCTGGGTTCACCCAGGCCGTGGGCCGGGGCATTTCCTTTGCATTGCGGAAGTTGGGGGTTGTGCTACCGTGGTGCTGTGACTTGAAGATGAAGAATAGCGTTAGACAGGCCAGGGAAAGCACGAGGGCCTTCTTGAAGGTAAGCATGGTGGCGGGCGCGGTTGAAGAGCCAGGCGAATAATGAGGAGGGGCGTCCTCGGTGGTGGAAACGGCGGGCACAGGTGGAACTCGATAGGGCCTAGGTGGGAAGATATACTATCAAAGCAGACGCCCTGGCTAGGCTTGGGGGTACAGAGTGAAGGCCGGCGCGCTGCTTCGGGAAGTCTTGACCTGGCGGGTGAAAGGGCTAGTGGTTGCGGTCGTGAGAAGGAAATGAGAGGTGGAACGCGCAATTCACGGACACGAGGGAGGAACGAACGACATGGAGAACGGTGAAAGCTGTAGAGGCTACTGAGAGCATGGGCGGCGGCGGCGATACCACGGGCTTTTTGAAAGAACCTCCAAAGGGCCAAAGCCAAGCAGGGGGTCTGCGAGTTTCACGTTCGCAGGCGCGCTAAGAGGCTAGCGTGCCTGTCGCCGGCGAATGTTCCATGGCCGACTCAACATCGCGGCAAAGCTTGTTCCAAATCAGTTGGCGCACCGAGTCGCCTGTAGGAACAACCCTGGTTGAATTACGACGCTGGGACGATCTCTCACGCATTTCCCACGCCTCTCGTGCATGCCGGGTGGAGAGCCTGGGAATGACAGGTATACCTCTTCGCACCTCGTCAGCCTCGAATCCCCACGCCCACCTTGGCTGCGACGACGGGGATGCATGGCAACGGCGATGAAGGCCTCTTTGAGGTCTACGATGGCTACACCCATTACTCCCCCAACGCTTGACTCTGGCCCGTCTTCGATTCATTGTCGCGTTGACGCGCGTTGGCTCCAGGCTCGGAAGGAGCTAGGTGAAACGCCGCGTCCTACCTCTTGGAGCGTAGCCCTCCCGCGTCATTGTGTCCAGCTGCTGCCGCTCCAACATTGTTGGCTGGCCGCCTGCACCGGGCCTCACTCAGCTTCCAGACAGCTGCAGCTGCAGCACTGCGCGTCCGGTTGCTCTGGGACCTATCTGCGTAAGCTCATCGACTACAGCACGCTTCTGCACTTGCCACGCTTACTGGTGGAAGTCTCGAACGGCGTCTTATCGCGACGACGAAGCCGCAGCTTCCTCATCCATCGCAACGTCATCGACACTCTATCTTGGATCCGCCCTCCCCGCCCGCGCGGCTTGGTGTACTAGCAATGCCCCGCCATTGATCCGAGTATTGCAATTCTTCCGACTTGCCATCAGATGCAGAGTGAGAAGGACAGCTGCCGTCCTACAAGACGCGGCTATGTTTCACATTGAGCGACAAGACCGCTGCGTATACGAGGTCGCTGCAAGATCCCCAGGAATAGACAGTCCCGCGAATGGCATGTCAATGTGACAGTACCCCGCGAAATCTATACTATACAGATCGCTTGTCGTCGTCTATCTTACAAACTAACACCCCTCCCTCTCATGAACAACGGTCCGACGGCTCTACGATTCACTCTCGATCGCAGAGGCTTGCACCGAGGCATGACGACAGTACTCCATGGAGATCCATCGGGATCCCTGGAATAACGGCTGCGCAAAAGTAACAACGTAGAGTATGTTGCTTTGCAAGAGTGTCAATGCCCACTAAACCTCCGACCCTTAGTCTTCTCCACAAACCCCACGATTACTCTTCATACCTCAAATCCATCTTCGGTCACTCGCTATCCGTACGCGTCAGCTTCTTCACGTCCAACTCTTGTCAGCGCAAAACGTTACAGTCTCGCGTGTCATAGTTTCAGATACCCGCCGCCGGGAACAACCTTCAACCGAAACGCACCCGTTTCTCGGCTAGGCACACCCGCGCTCAGGTTGGAAAAGCAAACAGCCGCGCGCACCACTGCCGTTGATGCCGTGCAGGGCTGATGGTTTCTGAGGCGGGAGAAGCAAAACACAACGTCTGGGAGCTAACCGTGCCTGAAACTATAATGTATTACGCATCGCGACGTCGACTTCCAGACTGGCAATGCTGGTGAATGATGTTATTTGTCTTGCTACATGACGCTGGACTTCCCATATAGTTGGGCGATCTTAAGGCTTCGCATAGAATGCGAAGATTAGTATCCATATCCAGATACGTATCGGTACAATGATCCACCGCCCACTCCGCCGTCTATGAATAGTATCACTGGCTGCGTAGAACTATCTTTGTATCTTTACCAGCACTCCCCAGCTCCAATCTTCGTATCGCTCACTGCGACATCACGGATGTGTATTATAATCTCACCAAGCAATAAGTCTTATCAAGTAGCGCTATGCTTACACCGCTGCACGTACCCATCTAGATCCCTACCTAACGTACCTGCGTTAGCGAGTTGGGTAGTACAAAAAGTGGATTTACGGTTTTCATTAGCCTCATCTTAAAGATACGAGAAGTATCGTACAGTAGTTTCTCAACAAACATATCGATGATGGGTATAGGGGTTCAGGAGAATCGACGCGTTGGTTTTCCCATGGGTTTCTGCTTCGAACTAATGGTATGTGGCATATCCGGCACGAGTGGCACGGTAGTTGCCATGGACCTACATGCTTGGCCTCTCGACCGACGCCCGCAACACCAACGTAGACTGCAAAGCACCGGTTCAGTTTCTTGCTCAACGTCAATGTAGGCTCCAGGTGTTTGGCATATCCTGTGAATGAGGTGTTCAAACAGCTTTCTCATCGGAGCCTCCCCATCCAAAGTCAATCCGACACCAGGCTCCTTCTCCTCGCTTGCGCACGCCCTGGATTTCCATCCCGACCAGCCTGGCCACTTTCTCTCTGTTCACCCACTCCGCCACCGCATGGCCCGTCTCGTTTGGGTTCAAACGCCAGGCTTCTTTGTCCCTGTTATCTCTGAGCCAGCGGAGTAATTGCACAGGCACGATACCTGCGGGCATATTCTGCAGACTCTGATTGTCGCTCGGGATCCAGCCTTGGAAAAAGTTGATGTATGTTATGCGGCGCCAGGCATCATTCCAATCTGGGCCTGGGATGCCGTTCTGCGTGCTCCATTCTTCTGTGTTTCCGTTTATGTCTGTTGGTGTGCGACCGGGGTGCGATGTGAGGGCTTTGAGCCAGTTGCAGCCTTCTAGGTCGAGCCATTGTAACGAGTATGTGTCTTTTGAGAATCGGCGGAGGATGTTGGTGGCTTCGTGCCAGTCGTCATCGAGGTCGGAGTAGAAGTGCGACCCGCCCAGTGATACGCTCGTGTGCTTTGAGATCATAGATGTGGTGTTTGCGTTGGGTGTCATCGAAGGCCGTGGCCAGTGCGCGAGCGAAAGGTGTGTGATCTTGTTGAGGTTGGGCGAGATACGAAGTAAGTCAGGCCATGAAGCCCATTGCCCAGGTTTCGCAAGGGAAAGCCGGCTCAGGTTGCTGAAGTAGGGCGTTTGGAGCTTCATTGCTGGTACCAAGGGTGCCGTTGGACTTTCTTGTATTTCCTCTTCCCAGGAGTCGGCGACGTCTTCGGTTACGCGGAGTGAAGCGAGATCAACAGTCGTTATAGCACTGGAAACGGGACGCTTGACGCATTTTCCAAGATCAGTGATCTTGAAGCGTTCGCTCAAGAGTCCGCTGAGGTCGAGGAATTGCACTTCCTCCCAACCAGCTGTACCGGTCCCCTCTTCATCCTGGAACAGGATCTTGAGCGACTTGAAGTCCAAGCCTCCCTGCCCATATAGTGTGAGATAGCTCAGTAGCGCTTCTTTTAGCGATATCGGTAGCGATGGAATGTAGTGTTGTTCGTACTCGGAGAGCTCTTCCCAATGTTGCGCAAATGTTCGGAGACATTGGTGGACGAGGCTTCGCGGCGGTGGTAGGCGCTGTCATGAGTAAGAAGCCTGAATTGTTAAGCCTGGAAGACCAGATGTGCTAGCACGCCACCTCCCCGACGAAGAAATTGAACACTCAGGAGCCTACGTTGACGCTAGACCTTCAAGACTGAATCCTTCTACGCTAATGTAGGCTCCACGGTGTTGAATTCTCCCATCGATTGAGGTGACGCGCTGGGGAGCATCGTACCTTCAATTCCTCGTTTGTGATCCTAGCCAGCGTGGCAAACCTCACGGCGCCCTTCTCTGAATCGGTCTTCTTCTTCCTCATATGTGCTGGCGCATGCCGACTCGTCTGCAACCAGCTTGAAGGTGCCGCGGGGCCTGGTGGGGGTCTCACGCCGCCCATGACCCTCCGCGTGCGTGTATTCGCCTTTGGTTTGGGAGCATTAACTTCGGGTATGTGCAGGATGCGCCGCAGCTCTGGCGGAACGGTACGACTGCTTACTACCGAAGTGAGCTCATCGCGCTGTTCGGGCGTTGCTCTCGGAGCTTGTTCGCGACGCAGCTGCTGGATGCGCTGGTTGACGGTTTGGGGTTCAGACGACGAGGACGAGGATGCGGGGGAGCGCGAACTCTGTAGCGATGGGTGAACGTAAGACGGTTTTGCTGTTGTGTACGAGGGCGTGTGCTTCTTGGGCATGGCACCGACGACGGTTGCTGCTGCTGCGCGTGGAGCCGGAAGCTACCTGGTGCTGGTATTGGTACGCTATATGAGTGACTCCAGGGTAAGCGGGGATCAAGGCAGGTGAGTCAAACGGCTATGACTGGATCAAAGAAAGGGCTGAGTGCTACAAGCCCTGCAAGAATGTTGATAAAGCAGCGACAATGGGATGGTGACTCAATGCCATGCATGCGCAGATGGCATCAGATGCGGCCATGTTCCGGGCTCGTCATCGCGCCACTTCGGTTGTGGCGCGCGCCAACACGCCTGCGCACGTGTTGGAGCGACTATTGATTTTGACCCGTCAACTGTCGGAAGGAACGTTCGTCCCGTATGCTAGATGGTGGGAAGGAACCGAGCGATCATATAGGCCCTCGCCAATCTAATCGTGATTATCGCAAAACCAACCGTATGGTGTAGCCAGCCTTGGAAACTTCTCCAAATTGGCACGGGGGAGGCGGAGTTGCCACCGTCTGTCAAGTCGCTGTCACTGTCAACAGTCACGCTAAACACGCGGGAAGCACATAGTTCTGTCCAGACCGTCGCTCCTCACCCT